TCACCATTCCTGCTACTTTGCTCCATCTCTTCCCACCTCTGAGGTCACAGCTCTGTGTCTCCTGAGTGAAGGAGTTTCGGCTCAAGGATCTCAGCTCCGAAGAATGCACTCGATTCCTGGCTCTTCTTTCTTTCTTTCTCTCTTCAACTCCTCATTGTGACTGAGTAGTGGTGTACAGAACAGATCGGTTTCGTATTCAACAGCACTACCATTTTGTTTCACCTCATTCTGCCGGCCCTCGGTGTCACATCACTTACCACATTTCTTCCCTCTGTGTCCTATTGCTAGTCCCCTTCTTTCCTAACCCTTCAGAACTTTGCCATTGGATAAATGCTGCCCTTTTGTTCTTGAACAGTTGCTTGGTTTTGTTTTGGGGTTTTTTCAGTGCTACTGTTCCCCTTGTAGTCTATTGTTGGGCTGAAAATGGAGACACGGGGCCATGCCCTTGGAGGTCCAGCAGTCTGACACACTGATGACAGGCACCTCGGGCCTGTGACATAGAGTCGGAGGCCACATGTTCCTCTCCTTATGCAGGACCTGCTCATGTGATTCCTTTCAGACCAGTTGGAGGTGGTACCTGGGCATCATCTGGTTCTTCTGGCCTCCGGGTCGTGAGGGCTGATGCTGGCATGGTCCATTAGTCCATCAGACAGGAAGGGGCCAATCGCTGCACCTTAACTGGCTTCTCCTGGGTTTTGAAGATCCCAGTCACTGGTCATCAAAGTAGGCTGTGGAGCATTGTTCTTGTGCACTGTGCTATGCCATTTGACCTTGATGGCTTTCAAGACTGGCTTTTCTTTCTTTTTTCTTTTTTTTCCCCAGTGTCTGTAACAAAATTTATCCCTGAGGCTCAGCAGAGAGAAACAGGGCCCATGAGTTACAGTGTCTTCTGTGGCAGCCTTTTGGGCCAGTGCCAGCCATGGGTGGGGCAGGCACTGAATTTGACATGGCTGCAGACTGGCTCTTCTTTCTTGATAGTAGAGGCATCCCCCCTTTCCACCTCTTGATAGAACTCATTTTAATCTTAGCAGAATGTTAAAACTGACCAATCCATATTCTGCCTCATACACCTTATTTGCATGATCCTACCCCTCCAGGGTGCATGTACCTTATTTACATTATTGGCAAGGTTTCCAGTCCCCTTGATAAGCCACAAGCTTCATTCTCCCACTCCTTTCCTGAAGACTATGGCTAGGAAGGCTATACCAAACTTTCACTGCACTCCAACTGTCGAGTGTAAAATTCACCATAGATTTTAAAGACTTCATATAAAAAGAGAATGTAAGATATATCATTAATATTTTAATTGGTTATATATTGAATAGTAAGAGCAAATAAAATGTTAAAATTAATTTTATCTGTTGTTTTTAACTGTGCTTACTGGAAAACTCTTAATTACATTGGTGACTCATATCTCTATTGGACATTTCCATACAGGTTCCTTGAAGGGTCACCAAACAAATTAACACCTATCTTACAACATAAATTTGGATACTTGCTTAGTATGCTAAAACAGTATGACCTGGCTAATTGCTATATGTGCCCTCAATAAAACTGATAGTTTTTAAGGAATATAGTTGGTGAAATTGCTTTTGTCTTCTTTTCTTAGTGATCGTTTTATTTTCTCTTTGATTTTGATACCTTCACATCATCTTTTAATGTGCAGTTACACTCCATCTGTAATCTTTTTATTGCAAACAAATGTAAATGTTTATTCTCCATAAAATCAAGATTGAAGCAAAGGCTGAGGTTGTTGTGAGTACCAGAAAACAGGATAATCAAGACGGATAGACTCACAAGCTTCCTGTCAGCCAGGAGCGAGGCTTTGTGCCCGGAGTGTGAAGGTCCGGAATGCAAACTCGGGAACCCCGTCATATGGATCCCTACCAAGATCTGGCTGATAGTGGGAGTGTTTGCCTTAGTTTTATATTTTTATCTAATATTAGAATACAAGGATATTCTGTCCTCTTAAGGACCAAGCTAGGGTACCTGATGAAACATATTTAGGCTCACAGGATGGTGACAACTGGCAAGTCTAAAGCCTGTAGGGCAGACCTGCAGGACAGAAACTAAGGAAAGGGTTGACATTGCAATCTTGAGGCAGAAATTTGTGGGACAGGGAATGAGTTTACATTGCAGCTTTAGCCTGAA